CCCATGACATCACAGAGCACCTAACCACTTGTGATTACATCATACCCAGCTCTCGACGGGCAAACCGGAGGTGCTGAAGATAAAGACATAACCACCAGCAGCCATATGCCTGCTTTGTAGCATGAATGAATGGTCTACCTCCTTAGACCTTCTGCAATGCGGCTTGTGAAGGCCTTGAACCGCAAGAACATGCCGCAGCAGCTCCAAGGAGCTACCTTTATGCAACACATACCTACAGCCACTCGCCAGCGCTGCTCTTAGGGCTGACAGGCATAAGGCAGGTCAAATCTATGCTCACTTAAGATTTTTAGTCAACTTTGGCCAGTAATATAGCTGTTTTCTGGGCCTACAGAGCTCTGATCTGCGATTTTTTTGTTAGCTGGTGCTCCTTGGGTTGGCCACCAAGGTTTGCCAGTTGTGCCAGCAGTCCTAGTAGCGCCAGCAGCCGGCACAGAGGGCTTGCTCCGTCAGCAAGTCTATCAAGCTGCTGTAGGATGCTCCGTCGGCAAGTCTATCAAGCTGCTGTAGGATGTAAGTGGTACATGGACCTCCCCCCCTTGCACAGTGCTTGGTTGCAGGCCATTGAGCACTTAATCTGCAGCAGACCATAAAGCTTGCAACAAACCCAGCATTTGCAGGCCGCTAGAAGTGACATCATACAGGGAGCTCACGGGACAGACGGCCCAGAGTTCAACCAGTACCCAAGAGCACAAACCAAGCATCCAGTGCCTGGTGATTGCATCATACCCAGCTCTCGACGGGCGGAGCAGAGGTGCTGAAGATAAAGACATAACCACCCAGCTTGAATGCTTGGTGTGCACCCATGACATCACACAACAAGTATCTAGCCTTTGGTGATTACATCATACCCAGCTCTCGACGGGCGGACCGGAGGTGCTGAAGATAAAGACATAATCAAGCTATCCACTTGCTTTGCAAGCCTGGATGAAAGGTCTCAATACTCAACCTTTGAAGAGCGCCACGGCTTAATCCGCAAGAGTGCGCAGCAGCAACTGAGTTACACACCACACATTCTTACAGCCACTCACCAGCGGCGCTCTCTTAGGGCTGACAGGCATAGCGCAGCTCATTTTGAGTCATCAGTCAAGTTGGGGCTAGCAGCAGCAATCTAATTTTGTAGTTTTCCCTGCAAAGAGAACTCAATTTTGCGATTTTAGTGCTAGGCTGTGGTCCCTGACTTTGCCATCAAAGTCTGGCAGTTGCGCAACCAGCTCTAGCAGTGCCAGCAGCGGCGCAGCGCCAAGCCAGAGGGAGGTAGTGGGCAAGTAAGTCAGCAAGCAAGCACTAGACTATGACATCACATGGACGTACGGTATTACGTCATGGATTGCAGTGACCAAAGCTTAGATGTAGTATGGCAGGTGGTTTGAGTTACCGTAGGTGTGTACGGTGGATGGTTTGAGCTACCTTAGGGGTGTACGGTATGCGTAGGAAGTGACAATAGGTGCGTACAGTGACTACGGAGCATTGATGTAGTATGACAGGTGTTTGAGCTACCGTAGGGTAGTACGACGGGTACTTGAGCTACCGTAGGGGTGTACGGTATGCATAGGGAGCAACCGTAGGTGAGTACAGTGACTAAAGAACATCAATGTAGTACGGCAGTTGATTTGGCCTACCGTAGGGCTGAGCATCGATGTAGTACGGCAGTTGACTTGAGCTACCGTAGGGGTGAGCATCAATGTAGTACGGCAGCTGATTTGAGCTACCGTAGGGGTGTACGGTACGCGTAGGGAGCTACCGTAGGTATGTATGGTATGCATAAGGAGTTACCGTAGGTGAGTATGGTGACTACGGAGCATTGATGTGGTATGGCAGACAACAGGTGTTTGAGCTACCGTAGGTGGTTACGACAGCGATTCAAGAACACAGACCTTTGGTGGAGTACGATGGGTGTTTGAGCTACCATAGGTGTGTACAACAGCCATTGGAGCTACCGTAGATGGGTACAACAGCCATTTAAGCTACCGTAGATGGGTTGACCACAGAGCGGTGAGCACGGAGCGGTGACGTAGTACGGCGGTTGTTTTGATCGACCGTAGGGGTGTACGGTAGGCATAGGGAGCTACCGTAGGATGGTTTGAGTTCCCGTAGGTTACTGTAGTACGGCAGGTGATTTGACTTTCCGTAGGCGGGTACAGTGGGTGGTTTGAGTTACCGTAGGTGGGTACAGTGGGTGGTTTCAGCTACTGTAGCTTACTGCAGTACAGCAGTTGATTTGAGCTACGGTAGGGGTGTACGGTACGCATAGGGAGCTACCGTAAGTGGGTACAGTGAACACAGAGTCTTGATATGGTACGGCGGTTGATTTGAGCTACCGTAGGTGGGTATGGTGACCACAGGGCAATGACGTAGTACAGTGGTTGGTTTGAGCTACTGTAAGTGGATACAACAGGTGTTTGAGCCACTGTAGATGGGCACAGCCAATGGTTTGAAATGCTGTACATTGTCAAGTCTATAGTAGTCTCTGTCCTCACCCCTCTTGCACCTCAATTGAGAGAGCTTACCCAGCCCAACTGGTGCACACCAGTCGGGCCATGTGAACCCCCTAGATGAGCAGACTCAGTGCATGACACACCGGTGCTTTAGCCTGCTCTTGAGCACAGACTTGTAACGTACGGCATCCCGTTGTTACAAGCCCCATGATGCGCAATGTCTTGCCCTCACGGTCTACACTGCATCTGCGTTCACACAGTGCTGCTTGCTTACAAAGCGCCCCCCGTAAGCTTGCAGGTGCTCTCTAAGTAATAGTATTTGCTACACCCACCATGCCATAACCTGAATCTAACCCAGCTCTTACCCATTGTACTTATTAGCTCTATTAACCCTTGAATGCAGCCTTCAGACACTGTACTTATTAGCTCTATTAACCCTTGAATGCAGCCTTTACCCATTGTACTTATGAATGCGATCGATTGATTGATTGAAGCCAACTGAATGAATGATGATCGATTGATCAATGATGAAGCCAACTGAATGAATGACGATCGATTGATCGATGATGAAGCCAACTGAATGAACGCGATCGATTGATTGATCGATCGATTGAAGCCAACTGAATGAATGATGATCGATTGATCGATTGATTGTAGCCAACTGAATGAATGATGATCGATTGATTGATTGATTGAAGCCAACTGAATGAACGCAATTGATCAAATGATTGCAAACCAACTAAAGGGCCAATCAAGCAATCTCACCTGCAGAAGACATCATTCATCACCGCAATCCTCATTGACGCAACAGGTTAGGCAGACCACCATCTCCATTACGTCAACATATGCATCTGATTTCAGATTGCTCCCCATAATGCAGCATTACAGCACTGTTCAATTGACTTGAAGCGTGCTACAAGCTGGACACTCAATACAATGAGTGCATTACATCATACGGGCGTGCGCAGAGCAAACCAAACCTTGAAGCTTTCCTTTTGGATTGAGTCAGCTCTCAATGGGTGTACCAGAGTTACTGAACACAATACAAAATTGAGGTTCAAAGCCCAATTTGCAATGCATCTACCTTTGAGCTTTGCTCAAAGGCTTGACGGCCTATTGCTAGACCTGTGAGGGGGACTATCCTGGTTTGTGGAGGCCCCTAACTGCAAGGCTATGCCGCAGCAACTCGAAGAGCTACCGTGTTGCGACACATCCCAACAGCCACGCCCCAGTTTTGTCTAAGGCTGACAGGCATAGGGCAGCTTGCTAGAATGCACAAGTGACTTTGGGAGATAACCACTGCTACCTACTTTTGTAGTTTTGCCTGCACACAGAGCTCAAAATTGCGATTTCAGACAGAACCTGCTGGCCTCTGCACAGCTGCTGGGCTCAAGCAGTTGCGTTCTGCCCTGTGTCAGCATCAGAGACACACCCAGCGCACGCAGCACAAAGCACAAAGCACCGTCAAACAGACAGGCTAAGTAAACCATGATGTCATTGGTTACGTACGTGCATGTACGCCATTTGAGAAGTATGGTCACTTCATCTGTAAACTGAGCTACTGTAGGGTAATACGATGGGTGTTTGAGCTACCGTAGGGGTGTACGGTATGCGTACGGAGCTACTGTAGGGGTCTACGGTATGCGTAGGGAGCTAGCGTGGATGGGTGCAGTGAACACAGAGTTGTGATATAGTATGACGGGTGTTTGAGCTACCGTAGGTGGGTGCAGTAATCTATGGTACAGTGAACACAGAGCTGTGATATAGTACGACGGGTGTTTGAGCTACCATAGGTGGTTACGACAGCCATTTTAGCTACCGTAGGTGGCTACAACAGCCATTCAAGCTACCATAGGTGCGTACAGTGATCACAGAGCTTTGATGTAGTATGGCAGGTGTTTGAGCGCCTGTAGGGGTGTACGGTACACGTAGAGAGCAACCGTAGATGGGTACAGTGATCAGCTTTGGTGTAGTACGATGGATGCTTGAGCTATTGTAGGTGGTTACGTCAGCCATTCAAGCTATTGTAGGTGCGTACAGTGATCACAAAGCTTTGATGTACGGCAGATGGTTTGAGTTACTGTAGGGGTGTACGGTACGCATAGAGAGCGACCGTAGATGGGTATGGTGACCCCAGAGCAGTGACATGGCACAGTGGTTATTGTGTGTGGCAGATGCCTCTTGCGTGGCGCGCGTCTGTTTGTGTGTTGCGCGTCTGTATGGCGCACGCATCTGTATGGCACGTATGGCGCGTATGGCACGTATGGCACGTATGGCACGCATCTGTCTGCGTACTTTTACGGCATAAAAGTGAAAGTCCGTGGATCTGCGGACCTCCGGACGCGTTTTTTGGCGGGGGATTTGGCTGCGCATCCGCTTTTGCGCTGTAAAAGTCTCGGGGCATATGTATAGGTCAACAATAACGCTGCAGTCAACAGCAACGCTGGGGTCAACAGCAATGCTGAGGTCAATGGCAACGCTGCGGTCAACGGCAATGCTGCTGCGGTTAACGGCAACGCTGCTGCAGTCAACGGTCATCACAGCATGGAAGACAGCCACCAAGGCTTTTTGCCTGAGCAGCTTGAGGAAAATGGTTACCTCCGTTCACAGGGCTTCCCAGAGATGACTCGACCCCAACTAGCAACATGGGCCGGAAGGCATTGCGTGGCAATGCAGGTATGTTTGTGTGCATGTAATTGTCTTTTGGTGGCGTTTCCATTCACACATGCTCCTTCTCACTTACAGCATTATAAAGCCAGCCTTATGGTGGATTCTGTATTGACAGCTGATTCAGGGAGCAAGCGCAACGGAGCACAAACCTCTGCTACTTTGAGGAGAGGCAGCAAGGTGCCAAGCTTCCACAGCAACAATGATCTCTATTCCAAAGCCCTCTTGCAGGCATCTGCAACCCCCCACATCCAGACCATGCTGTTGGACATCCTTTTGCTGTCCCACAACCCTGCCTCTGGTGATGAGGGTGCTGTATACACCTTTTCAGGTCCAACCATGCCTGGTCATCCCAATGTTGCCGCCTCACCAGCAACAGCATCTGCTTAAAATGAGGCACCATCAGCATGCAAAAATGCTGTGGAAGGGGCTGATCTTCCATCATCAGGCCCAGCATATCCAACCTTGGCCCCAAGTTGCCTGCCCTTGGTCATGGACACAAATGCCGGCCATGGCCCAATGCCAACTTTCAGTGCCCACAACATTGCCTTGTGGACAAATGCAGTTGCCAATGAGACAATTCCCGCGCCTCAACAGGCAATGCGCCCTACCGGCGCAATTGCCATCAGCAGCGCTGACACCGTGCAGACCAACACCAATCCAGCTTCATTGCCTGCCCTGGAGGCAGATGCCACAGTCCACAGCGTGCCTGTAGCAGGTGTGCCACCAAAGCACACTTTTAGCTCTGTTGAGCCATTGGCGGATCAACTTGGTCCCCGCGCCAAGATTCCTTGCAACGCAGAATGAGGTGGCCTTCCTGCTCTGTTGCGCAAGGCAATAAGTTTGCCGTTGTTTGGGTGCCGCTTGTTCTGTCCTTGGCTATACTGCCTCTTGGTCCCTTTCTCTGGCCATACTGCCGCTTGTTGTTACGGTGCCATACTGCAGCCGCTCCTCCATTGCCCTCATTCATTGTCAACATACGCCACGCGCTATGTTTTGCTTGCCCTAGCGCCACAAAAGTCTCCACTCACCAGTCATGCTTACAACACGTCAACATAATGAGGCCGCCTTACAACCCCTTCAGTTCTATTGACATGGTTGCAAGACAAAGATGGCACGCACAGCGTTCTAAGCCATATCACAGTACAAAATGGTCATGCAATCACTCGTCTTATTGTGGTGATGGAACCGTTGTCTGAACCCAACGCAATGTTGGTCTAAGCCCACAGCAAGCGGAATACGTCAGCCGCATGGGATCACGCGTTCAATGGAAGGATTCCCCCCTTCGAGATCTTGCCAAGCATTGTGTTTGTGCGTCTGTCCAGTCTTTAGGCATGACTCCTGCCCGCCTCTACACAGTCGATCTGGCGCTAGATTGCTGCCCTACGCGCGCACCGCTGTGATGGGAGCACATTGCCCAGACCTGCTCAACAAGCAGCGCATCTCTCATGCAAAAGACCTTGAGCTCCTCAACACGTAATGCTTGCGCCGACCATGGATGGAGAGATATCATCTGATGAAGATTGGTCGACAAGATGAGACTAGTACTCGCACAGACAAGACGCCGCAAATCTTACAATTGACGTCTCCAGAAGTTGTGCTACCTGCCAATTGTGAAGTTGTCGATACATCCTCCTTGCGCTCATCTGAATTTAGCGGGAAGGGTAGCGAGCAAGGCCACGGCAACATAGACAAGTCGCGCAACAGCGCTGCACATGACACCACCGGAGGTGGTCCAATCTCGAACGTCAAGGCTAGCCTCTTTGGAGTTGAGACCGAGCTGTCGGCCTTTGAGAAATGGACACAAGAGCAGCGACAAGAGAGACAACTGGATCGAGAGCAGGCCAAAGTGCGAGAGGCTTGTCAGCACCAGGAGCGTATGCAGGAAACGCATGGTCTTGGAACTACATTGGGAGTTGCCATGGGCCATGCTATTGGCGAGTCCCTGAGAACAGTCATGGAAGCTATGAAGAGCACTGCCAATGCGAGTCGACCTCCTGCTGCAGCCTACAGACTGATTCCTGCACGAGGTCCACCCCGACTTCCTTCTCTGATGCCTCCCACAGTACCTTCTCCTTTGCTTCCAGCAGATCATCAAGCTGGCGGTGATGTCACAGAAGGTGTTTGTCCCAAAAATAACATGCCGGGCGGCTCTCACAGCAGCTAAATCCCTGAACACGCTCAAGTTTTATCTCCACAAACTACTGTGTCTTACGCTTGGGCTGTCATGTGACACGCGCATTATCTTAGCCTCATGTACAATGCTTGACTAGCGTCTTCTCTTTCTTCTTCACTACGATCATCATCAAAATCCATCGCATTCACAACCAGTGCGAGGCAAAGGTTGTGCTCGCGCCTTGCCAAGCGACGTTCAAAATCATCCCAACTGTCCGAGTATTTGTTGTCCAGATGTGCTCTGTCTCTCCACTACGCTGGAAGTGCGTCGAAGAAGCACTAGATGAGGTTTTTTCGCGCAGTGGAACACTCACGCTATCGGCGTGCTCGATGATGAGTAAGTTCTTGTTTGTGATGAAAGTGATGAAAATTAGGACGTCCTCTTTGTTGGGAGCAAAACGGTAGACTTCCTCAGCTCAACGCAACTCGTTCGAAACGAAAGCCCATCGAGCTTTAAGGACTTGCTGCCGTTCCGTCCAAGATGAAGAGATTTGGAAGAGCTGAGAGAACCGGGCTGTAGCTCGACCTTCCAGGCAAAGAACCCACAACCGCACTCGTCTCCCCATTGGTGTGACTTGATGAGACTTGCAGGTTCTTGGCCCTGGCCAACCACAGACGGATGGACACCAGGTCCGGGTCAAAGTCATCCACGTCTTTGGACTTTGGGATGCGTTCTTGGCGTCTAGGATAGTTTGGCGTCTGACCTTGTGGCGGATCAGGACTTGGCGGCCAAGGGCCGTTTCTGTTGCCCCCTCCGCCACCGATGTCGCTGGAGCACCCTCTTTCATAGTTTCACTGGCTTGGGTTGACCAATGGCTGGCGTCGACTGGGCTCTTGTCCTCCAACACTGGACGGAGGGTCATTATCTGGCTCGTTGTCGTCTCCAGGGGGGGAGGGGGGAGGGGGTGGGTGTTCTGGTTTGTTGGGGTCTGATGCGCTTGCTGTCAGCATGCCGGCAGGCGGATTGTATTGCCACAAGATGCTAGGTCTGCAAACGTCTGGAATTTGTGCTGGGGTAGTACTCCTGCGCCAGACTGCTTCTACCGGAGCCCCACCGGACAGCCACAAAGGGGCTTGGGTGTATCTGGGCAAGGAGGAGGTCGCGCGTGCTGGAAGTCGAGAGACAGCAACAAATCAATCGAGGCTGCCGTATCTTACTGATGGACGTCGGCCGGTGTCCTGGCATTGGGTGGACGTGGCTGGCATTCCGCCGACCTTGAGGCCAAGAGGGAGGATCGCTGGAGGGATGACGCGTCTTTTGATTCCGACAGGCATGCTTGGTCCTTTGTTTCCAGGATGCACCGAGCTTCACTCTGAAGGGGCAGACAGAGACGGGCCGCGATCAACCTCTTTCCCTTTGAGAGACTTCGTTACCGTGTCTGAGTTCCACTCTGGCAAAGACAACTGTTGCTTCACTGTGACATTCATTTCCAAAGCTGATGGATCTGATTTTGTTGCTTCGTACCAGTCGCGAAGAAGCTTGTTCTTAAGGCGTGCAAATCCAGCTTTGCCCGCTTACTCAGGTGTCTTTCCACCAACCGCAAGCAGATAAGTGATGCAACAATCAGCTGCATCCATTCCGTCAGCCATGTCTTGCCCGACAGGGTTGCTGCCAGCCTGAGAGCTCTGAGAGGGGGCCACGGAGCTGGCACAAGAGCTGCGTTCCTTGATGTCCTTTGAGCCTATTTTTAGTCCCTCCAGCTCGAGTGAAGTGAGCTCTTCCACTTGCGTGGGAGGTAAAATAGGCGGGACTGCCGCCCCCATAGGTGCTTTTGAAGGAACAATTGTTGCCGATGGGACATCCGCTGGCTGTTGTGAGCCCGAAGCTACTGAGTCGCGCGGGCTGCGGTCTCCAGAGAACTCCATGAGATTATGGACGAGAGCTTCTGCGTACGTTGCCTTGGTGGGAGCCTTTTGATTGAGCTTTCTGTTGCTGCCAGTGACTGAGCCCGCTCGGCTGGCGTTGGAGCCTGCACAACAGTCTGAAGATTGGGCAAGAAGTACAAAAGCTTTCAGCGCCCAGCCTTGATCGGCCTGAGTTGGCTTCCATGTCTTCGCACCAGCTTGACTAGCGGTTTTTTTTGCTTTGTCTTAGCCCCCCAACCTAGTTCCACTTGCCACAGATACCGCTTGCGCTGTCGTGGGGTCATCTTTGCGTGGATGTATGCTGTGCCTGGCTGAATGCTTTGCGTGGATGGATAAAAGTAGAGTTTGCACAGTCCTGAGGAGAAAGTGTCCTGTCCTTGAACTGAGAGAGATATCTAGTCAACAGAGATCTATAATAGTCTAGCAACCGAGTAGGTGCTAGAAAGCCACTGATACGCCTCTGATGGGGACATACGCGAAGCCCCTTCCCCTCGATCCTGGCACCAGTGAGATTCAAACGGGGGAACTGTTGAGCAGCCCAGGACTTGGGACATTACGGGACTAAAAGTCTTCTACTGCTCCTTCAGCACCGGCCTCGGCAAAGCAAGGGTAGCATTTGCCTCGGCAGAATGAGAATGTGACAACGGAACCAATGGATGGACCGACACAGAGACTCGCCAATGGTGCGCGCACAAAAGCGGTAGGAATTTGGAGTTTGAGTTGTCTGAAGAGTTTTTCACGCTTAGCTAAACCACTGCAGCAACAGTGGCTCTTAAGTAGTCGACTGCTTCCGCAGAACAGAGACGACGAGAAGCTCTGAGCTACAAAGATGTCGAGCATATACGGATGAAAGTCATGGTCACGCGTAAAGAAGAACAAACGACTACAACAGCGTCTCAAAAGACGCGCGCGCTTGGGCAGCACACTGCATTTCAGACCATTCCTCACGCTGAGGTCAAGTTGGTCTGGATTCGTATTCAAGTGACCAAGCGCATGAGGTCCTTATTTGCGCGTGAGGCAAACAGCCAACAAGCCAACAACAATGGCAATCATCACGCCAATCAGGAGCGCAACAGTCTTGCAAATTGCATCGACTGCGCGCTCGACACCTTTGAGCTTGGTGACAAGCTCTTGTTTGTTGGCAACAAGCTCTTTCATGTTGGCCTCAATGACCCCAAGAGTGGTTGTCAGCTTGTTGTTGTTGCTTTTGGCCATCTCAAGACGCTTGGCCAACAAGACAAGGTGGAGATCCTGCTCCATGCGGCCCATGCGCTGCTTGGGGCTGGCCAGGTCTGGATTAGTGTCCACAATGGGCAAGGTTGTGTTCTGGGTGGGCACAGGGACAATTTGTGATGATGGATCAGTTGTCAGGAAAATGAAGTAGCTGCTGGCAGCAAGTGACTCACCGCAGGCATGCTGCTGACGCTGATGGCCTGGCCTTCTGTGCAAGTCTCGTAAGTGGAAGGTGGATGCTGGATGCATTTGTGCAAGTTGACCTGTGCACAAGGGTTGGGCTGCGTGCGTGCGTGCGTGCGCTTGAGGTGTGTTGTGGCGGCTGTGAGGTGAGTGCATGAGCATGTTGCTGGCTAGCATTTGGAGCGTTAACACGTATGAACCAATGAGGTTCAGCTGCTGCTGCGCCTAGGGGTTGGGCACGGGCATCCAGCCAACTTCATCTTCGGTCCACTCCAAGAGTCTGTGGCGCGAGCCCTCTTGCCCTCTGGTTCATCCCCATCCGCCTTGCGTTTGGACTGTGGTGGAGAGTAAGAACTTGCCTTGTCAATGCGCGCCTTGCGTCACGCATTGCGCCTCGCTTCCACAACTCACATTTGTCTTGGCCAGGCTGTCTTCAAGCAACCCAACACGCTCCTCCATCCTCTCTGTTGCCTCGCGCATCTTCTCCATGCTGTCAAGAGTGTTGCAAATGGACTGGTACTGCTCGCGGTGCATCTTGACAAGCAGAAGCTCCTTGTCCGCAGGAGCAGCAGGCAGGTCCAGAATGTCTGCATTGGTGACGTCCATTGCTGCAGCCAGCTGCTCAACCTTTTGCAAAGACGCCTGGTAAGGCGCCAGCTTTTCTGACACCAGCCTTTCCAGCTCTGACGACGTAAGGGGGGTTGTTGTTGCAGTGCCGGCAGGGTTACTCTGAGGGGAGTCAGCATAGTCTGCCATGGTGCGAGGGATTGTATGTGCTTGACGCGTGGGGATGGCGTGCGGTTGTATGCGCTTGCTGTTTGAGGAAGAGCGTAGGGAGTGTGAGGTGGGGAGTGCTTGTGTTTGGTCGGTAACCCGCACGTGACAGATGGATAGGTGGGGAAAGGGTTCGACTCGCAGTAGCGCAGTCGAAGGTAGGATCGGACTTAAGATTAGAGCATAAGTGATGTATTCATGAGAGATCTTGTCTCTCGTACCTGGGGTTTTTATAGGCGCTTGGCGCCTATAAGCATGTATCATAGTTGTGCCATACATCGAGAGTGACTTAGGGATATTTGGGGATCGTACGTGCAAGAGGGGAACGTTGGCGCGTACAATCGAAGCCACGATGGACGGGAGTGGCTTTGTAAGTCCATCAGGTTTGGGAAGCAGGCCTCAACCCACGGTGGCGTCGAGGTGGCTTATGTGGCTTGATTGGTGGCGTTAGGCCTGGGCGCGCCACATGCACGTACCCTGTGTTTGTAACTGTTGTGGCTTGACAAACACAGCAGGGTTCTCTCGTGCGATAGTCGTGAACCCAAACAGACCACCCTTCCTAGATTCGAGCACCGGCTTCGACAAATTGCAATAGATTTTCAGGACACACTATTGGGCGAGATTGACTTTGTCCACGTGGCGTCTGCGCGTCATTAGTCAGCTTGTCTTTTAAGATCGCAGGTGTGGTCGTCGAGGATGAATGGGCGTCGAGGTCGACATCGTTTTAGGTTGTGATGATCGAGAC